CTTTGCATTTCCCTCCTCCCGAGCTAAAATTCCCAGTTCTCAATGACATCAACATGATTACTCATTTGCTTTATTCCACCCTAAACACACACATAGTCCATAAGAATAAAACTGACATTTCGTGGACATCTGTCTTAGCGGCATATTTATGGATCTGTCTCCACAGGCAAGGGAAACAGAAGCAAAAATAAACTATTGGGACTACACCAAAATGAAAAGCTTCTGCACAGTGAAGGAAACCACCAACAAAAAGAAAAGGCAACCTACCAAATGGGAGAGGATATCTGCAAATGACAAATACATTAAGGGTTAATATCCAAAATGTATAAAGAACTTGTATAACTCAATACTGAAAAACAATCTGATTAAAAAATGGGCAGAGATGGGGCGCCTGGGTGGCTCAGTTGTTAAGCATTTGCCTTCGGTTCAAGTCATGATCTCAGGTCCTGGGATCGAGCCCCGCATCGGGCTCCCTCCTCTGCGTGAAGCCTGCTTCTCCCTCTGCCACTCCCACTCCCCCTGCTTGTGTTCCCTCTTTTGCTGTTTCTCTCTCTGTGTCCAATCAATCAATCAATCAATCAATCTAAAGAAAAAAAACAGGCAGAGAATCTGAATAGACACTTTCCTGAAGAAGACATCTAGATGGCCAACAGACACATGAAAAGAGACTCAACATTCCTCATCATCAGGGAAATGCAAATCAAAACCAGTGAGATATCACCTCATACCAGAATGGCTAGAATCAAACAGACAAGAAATAACAAGTGTTGGTGAGGTTGTGGAGCAAAAGGAACCCTCATGCACTGTTGGTGGGAATGCAAACTAGTGCAGTAATTCTGGAAAACAGTATAGAGTTTCCTCAAAAAAAAAATAAAAATAGAAATACCATATGATCCAGTAATTCCACTCCAGGGTTTTTACCCAAAGAAAATTAATGAAGACACTAATTTGAAAAGACACATGCACCCCTATGTTTATTGCAGCATTATTTACAATAGCAGGGATGTAGAAGCAGCCCAAGTGTCCACTGATACATGAATGGATGAAGAAGAGATGGTGTATACACGTAGTGGAATAGTACTCAGCCATAAAAAAGAAAGATCTGCCATTTGTGACAACATGGATGGACCTAGAGGGTACAATGCTAAGTGAAATACGTCAGAGAAAGATAAACAGCATACAGTTTCACTTATATGTGGAATTTTTAAAGCAAAACGAACGAACAAACAAAAAACAGACTCATAAATACAGAGAACAGACTGGTGGTTGCCAGAAGGGAGAGGGGTGGGGGATGGGCGAAACAGGCGAAGGGCATTAAGGGGTACAAACTTCCAGGTATAAAATAAGTCCGGGAGATGAAAATGACAGCATAGGGAATGCAGTCGGTAATACTGCAATAACCTTGCACGGTGACAGACGGCGACTACACTTACCATAGTGAGCCCTGAGTAATGTACAGAATTACCGAACCACATGTTGTACACCAGAGGTTAATACAGCCTATTGTATGTCAGCTCTACTTCAACAATAAAGAAGAAATACATTAGCTGAAAAGATAAACACAACTGAAGTAGGTCCTCTCAATATGGCTATGAAGGCAATTGCATCTACACTTAGGTCCACTTTATTTTCAATATTTTGGAATGCTTCTTAAGTTTAATTTGTTTTACAACATGTGAAATATTTATCTGGCTCCAGAGTCAAATCTCTCAAACAACTGCTTCTTCTAAGAGGTCTGGGCTCTACCCTGTCATTTTTACCCTGTTCCCTGTTGACAATCTAATTTTACCGTCACTCCTTTAACTTCTGAAAATAAAGGATACACAATATGTATGTGTCAAATGTTGATATGTATGTGTATATAGATATACTGTCATCCCCTCTTTTTTAGAGAAATGTAGCATATTTACACATTTTTCTTCACATTCCTTTTCTACTTCATAACGCGCTCTAGACATAATTCTGCAGTGGCATATAGAGAGGTTTCTTGTTCCTTTTTGTACCTGCACAGTATGTCATTGTGCGAAAGCATCCTAACTTTATTCACCCAGCTTGCTTTTGATGGATATTTGGGTTAGCTCCAATTTTGCTGTTACAAATACTGCTGCAATTAGTATCTTTTGCAATTTCTTTTCAGATCTTTGCCAGTGTGCCTTTGGAACGGGTACTGCGGGTTAAAGGCTAAATGCATGTGCAGTTTCATTGGGAATTGCTAGATCCCCCCGTGGGGCTGTGCCTGCTCCATGCCCACCAGTACTGTGGGCAGTGCCTCTTTCCCCAGAGCACTGCCAAAAATTGGGGGGATTTTTGCCAACCTGCTAGTTGAGAAATGGTATTATGGTGCAAGTTTAGTTTGCATTTTTTTGTTGTAAGTGAAGTGGACCAACTTTTTATAGGTTAAGAGCTATTTGCAATTCTTTTTCTGTGAACTTTTGTTCATCTTGCCCATCTTTATGTGGAGTGGTTTGCATTTTTCTTTTTCTTTTTAGAAGTTCTTTATATATAAGGGTATTAATCCTTTGTGATATAAGTTGCAATTATTTTTCCCAATTATATTTGTTTTTGCATTGATTCTTCTGGGTTCTTTAGATATTTAACCATTTCATCCACAAATAGAAAAAAAAAAACAATACCTATTTCATTGCATTTTCATGCATAATGGGGTTGTCTTGTCTGCTTGCTAATACCTGCAACACAATTTAAACGGGTATGTACAAGATAGTAGGCACCCTTGTCCTATTTCTAACTTTATAGGGAATACCTTTAGTGTTTCCCTATTAATTAAGTACTGTCTTAGGACTGAGACATTTATATTTTATTATGTTGGGGAACTATCAGTAACAATGTCTATTTTATTAAGGTCATTTTAATTTTGCTTTTAGCATCAGTGGGTGTTTAGGCTCTGAGATAGACTGCCCTGTTAAGATGCCGGGCTGAGGACAAGGTGCTCCATTCTAGAGATGCTTTGGGCACAGCACGCTCCTGAAAATCCTTTTTCTCCCTTCGGAATGTTCCCAAGGATTCTCAGCCAAACAGTAAGAAACCAAGTAACTCTAAAGAGTTAACTCCCCTTACCCTTAATATGGAAGAAGAATTTGTTTTAAGCCAAGTTTTAGTGCCAGCTGGTGAGACTGGAGTTGGTTCCTGCAGCTGCCTCCAGGCAGGGCGGTGTGGCCCCATGCCCTCCTCTCCCTTCTGCTGCAGGCCCGCATGGCCCCTCACTCACGGCGATGCCAGCTCCCTGCACCTTCCGGTCCTGACCTCGCCCCTCCCCTCCCCTCATTTCTCCTCCCCCCCTCCCCTCTCCGCCCCCCCCCCCCCCCCCTCTCCTCTCCTCTCCCTTCCCCTCCCCTCCTCCAAACCCCTGCTAAGATTGCTGGCATCCAGCCTGGAATGGCCCCTCTGGCTCCAGTTGCGCCATCCCACACCCATAGTTCTCTCCTGTTCAGCTTTCTTAGTTGACTGTATCTGAGACTTGCTCCCTGTCTTCACATCCTTCCCTCCCAGGGAAGACATATGGCCCTCCCTTTAACACCTGACACTGGGGTCACGGGTTCCCCCGGCCCATGTCTCAGCTGCTGGCCATGCCGTATTGGGGTGTTTCAGCACTCCCCTCTTAGACCCCGCAGCCATGTGCTTCTGAGACATCTCGGAGGGGTGTGCATCAAGCCAAAGTAATTTCATGCTCCACCACCGCACTGGGTCCCACGCCAAATGCCAGTCTTCCCTCTTCAGCAGCCCCTCACTTCATACAATGACTATTCCAAACCTTCCTTATCGCAGAGTTTCTTAGGCACAGAGCCTCGTTATTCACTTACATTGGGGGTGTTTATCAACCATCTACCGCTTCCCAGAGACAATTCTAGTCCCTGGGACACACACATGAACAACAAAACCCTCATGACATATACATTCTTATCTGTTCTTCAAAGAGGCAATACCAGTTGATTTTGAACTTATTACCATAAGCGCTCTTTCAATTTTTCACTGCTATCAACTCTTTGCTAAGCATGACTCACTAGGTGCTCTAGGTGCTGAGGATGTCCTAGCAGCACGATGCGGCCACCACCTCCCCCCCATGGGGGAAACAAACCAGACAAGATAAATATGTTACATCAATCATGTGGTGACATGAGATAGCAGAATGAGGAACTAGAGAGCAATGGGGGTGTGCTTCCTAAAAGAGGGCACAGAGGAGACTGTAGGAAGTCCAGAGGTCTGAGGAAGTGAGGGTGAGCCCTGGGACCGCCGGGCTCCCAAGGAGGACAGCAGGTGCAGGGCCCAGGTACCAGAGCAGCCTTGCAGTAAGTGTGACCTCCCTGAGGCCACTGCATCACCACAACCCAGGCATGCAGAATCCCGGGAGGAGTAGAAAGGCTCACCTGGATCTTGTATCCTGCAGAAACCTGGGGTCCCCTCCCTGGGGAGATGCCTTCAGAGCAACACAGAGCAACACCCCCTTCCCAGAGTACTCCTTTCTTAGAGCATTTCTCAACCTCGAGGAACACAGACATGGAGAGATAGCACCAGCTGAGCATCGTGCGGTCGGGTGGCACCCTGACATCTCAGGGGCATAAGACCACCACGGCAGACCATTTCAAAAGCACAAGGTGACCTTTCCAAATGATATGCACATTTGCATCAAATAATGGAAATAATAGCATATGTCCTAACGGACATCCCACCGGAATATGCTGTTTTGATAGGGGAGAGGGTCCCTCAGATTTCTGTGTCTTAAGATACTTTCAAGTCATTTAGGAAAAATTCGGTACTTTATAAACGTGCCGTAATTCAGAGTCCTAAAATGTGGCACTGGAAAACCACAGTCCATTTTTATTGTATGACAACATATATGACCAAACTTTTAAGGAAATGAAGTTTCAACCATTCCATCTCTGAAAATAAAATCAGCTTTTGGTTTCCAGGGAAAGCCCTGGCGCCCACAGGGGCTGCTCTGGCGCCCGCTCTGAGCCATCTGGGCTGACCTTCCCCTTTCCTACCTTTCTCCGGTGGTCCTGGTAGGCTTTCTCCCAGGTGCCTGGCAGGCACTCGCTGCCACAGGGAAGAGTTGGCCTGGGGGCTCTCCGCATTTCAAACAGCAAAACCAGCTGCTCCCTTCCAGGAAGGGAGCCACCAGGGTACGATCTGCAGAGGGTTGTGTTTGCTGGATCAGCTGACAGTTGTCATGGCAGCCAAGCCAGGGAGAAAAGACAGGGCAAGAGATCATAACGTAGGAGAATGGAAGATCTTTCTGCTCTAAAGGGTATTTTCTCCGCAGATCTCAGTAGCTTACTGATGCCATTTGGAGGCCCACTGCCCACCTCCCCCATACTCACGGGAAAGGGCAGAGCTTCTTCCCCAGATGACTCCCCCTTTCCCAGTCTTCCCTTCTTTTCTTGCTTCCTCCTTCCCCAACCGCCCTTCCTCTCTCTCATATTCTCCTCCCTCACCCCTGCTGCCTCCTGGCCTTATCCCCTTTCTCTCCTGTCTTTGAATAACTTACAACAATTTGGGCAACTCCAAATATTTGCAGCTTAGGTGGCAGGTCTTCGTCTTTTTTTTTCAATTGGCTTGAGGATTAGGTACAGAAAATTTTCGTCATTTTAAGCCGTTCCTCTCTCTGTGGCAAGGGACAGTGGTGCCAGAGTATCTATTGGGCTGTTCATCTTCGTCAAAATCATAGGTATAATTTTAGAGATGACGTGATTAGAGGAATAGCAATATAATTGTCATTTAAGATTGCTAGTCGTCATGACATCATCATACCCATCACAGAAACGTTGTAGTGCAGAATTAGTGATTAGTGGCTCATTGTTGAGCTGTGTGTCAGTAAACAGAACACAACAGAAAAGGGGCATTTTATGAAGAATTGTGTTGTACATATGAGCATGATTCAGTGGCTATTAGTCTAAAAGAGAATTAATTAAGCCTACATTGAATCAGACTTTGGAAAAATAAGATGTGAATAAAATCAGAATATGACTTTCTCCTGTCTGGCTTTAGGTGGCTGAGGTAGGCTGCACTTAGCTGGTTCCAATGCTCTAAGTTTGGCAGAAAACTTTGCAGGCTGGTAAAATTGTTGATGTACTAACAGTTAAAAAGTTGGGTTTTTCAAAACAAATTTATTTTAGTTCACAAGTAATAACTTTAGAAAATTATGCATATACAGTAGAAGATAGATGTAAAAATTATTGCCTGAAAAATGCAGCTGGTACTCTAAGACATGAGGCCTCAGGAAGATCCCTTAGCCTATAAAATCTACATGGCATATTCCTCTGAATATATAAAGAAAGAAATTAAATAATAATAATAAATAAATAATTTTCTTTACCCAGTTACCATCATTGGTCAAGCCCAATATTCAATAGATGCTCAGGGAAACTCTGCCATTAATGAAATAATGGTATTGATGATAATGATTGAGTCTCCAACTGATGCTCCGAGATTTTTTTGTTCAGACTGTGGGGCTGGTTCTATATGATTCTTGTCTTTCTCTTTTCCTGAAGCCTGTCTGCCACACACACTGAGAAATTCCTAACAATGCTCAACATCACTGCCAATCAACCAAGGAATGGAGGCATCGTTCTGTCCAAACTGCTCATGCTTATGATAGACCATGGATGGAGGGCAAAGTAGAAGCTGGACAGAATAAATGATATTTAAAGGTTCTTTGGTTTTTTTGTTTGTTTGTTTTTTGGGTTTTTTTTTTTTTTTTTTAGCAATGTGGGTACTCATAGCAGTTATGATACACACATTGTTATTGACGCACCTTATAAATAAGTGATCTCAAGTTGGGATTCTACCGGTGCTCTTCCCACTCATTCATGCTTACTCTTTTTTTTAAAAAAAGATTTTATTTAATTATTTGACAGAGAGAGCATAAGCAGGGGAGTGGCAGGCAGAGGGAGAGAGAGAGCAGACTCCCCATTGAGCAGGAAGCCCGTGATGCGGGACTCCATCCCAGGATCCTGGGATCACGAACTGAGTGGAAGGCAGACGCTTCAACTGAACCACCCAGGTGCCCCCGTTTATGTTTACTCTTAACTGACTAACATTTGCTATCTAATTAACATTTGTTATCTAATCTGACTTGATGGTGGGGTCCCACAGCAGAGGATCTGGAAAAACTAGACATACCCCATGCTAAACCAGAAAGATTGCTGTCAGCTGCATGGTACACACGCCAATCCAGTCTCAAACTAAGTTTGGTTCCTAACATATTCTTTTTCTTTCTTTCTTTCTTTTTCTTTCAGAGGGAGAGAGGGGGGGGGGGGGGGGGGGGGGGGGGGCAGGGACAGAGGGAAAGAGAGAATCCTGAAGCAGACTCCCCACGGAGCATGGAGCTGATCCCTGAGGTCATGACCTGAGCCAAAATCAAGAGTCGGACACTCAACCAACTGAGCCACCCAGGATCCCGGTTTCTTAACATATTCTTAACAAGATCAGACCAGAAAAATCAGTTAACCAGTAACTCCTTGCAATCTATCCTGAGGAAATAATCTGAAACATTGACAAGGATTTATACACAACAAAGAATTCCTCATAAAAGTAGAAAATTGGGAAGTCTGGAGTTTAATTAATAGTGTCAATGTCAGTTTCTACTAATGTTCTTTTTCTGTTCTGAGATCCAGTCCATGACATCACTTTCTATTTTGTGAATTTTTAAGTAGAGAATTTTTTTATGTTGACCTAGGTTTTTTTTTTTTTTAAAGATTTTATTTATTTATTTGAGAGAGAGCACGAGAGGGAAGAGGGTCAGAGGGAGAAGCAGACCCCCTGCTGAGCAGGGAGCCCGATGCGGGACTCAATCCCGGAACTCCAGGATCATGACCTGAGCCGAAGGCAGTCGCTTAACCAACTGAGCCACCCAGGCGCCCTGACCTAGGTTTGAATACTTAATATTACACAGTTTCTACTTATACTTTGCACAAAGTGAAGAGCAAAGCCTATTTTGATTTGATTATTCAGATAATACCTGTATGCTCAGCTCCAGCCTTAATCAGTAATTGGATCAGTATTGACTTGAATATTGTGTTTATTAGAAATGCCTTGTAATGGTGACTCCCTGAATACGTGAAAGCTATTAGTACAATTGATTCTTACACTGTATATATTTGTCAAGTAAGATATGTTAATTAAACCCTTAATATTCATAATTCTTTGTATGTGTCTTGTGATGATAACCTGAAGTGCAAGCTTTGGTCATGTTCCTCTGCCCTCCACCAGAGCAGTGAGATCAGAACAAAGCAACAGGCCTCATTCTCATTCTACAGTACAGAGTAGTTTTAAAAACAATCTCAAATTACTTCAGATTAATTCAGCTTTTGGAGGGCAAATATTGATTCACAGAGAAATGAATGTGTCCAGAGCCCTCTGTTGAGTGTGGGTCACTGGAGACACCTAACCAAAGAACCAGGATACCTACTTTCAGGAAGGTGGCCTGGGCTATTTTCCTCCCGGTGAAAAAACAGAAAATCCTGGATATTGTCTTAGTAATAAACCTTCTCCCCAAAGTAGCTGCAAAGTTACTACACAGCAGGGAACAAAATGGAGGAAAGTTCCTGCAGCCCAAATTCACATTGCTTAGGCAGCCAAAACACCCTCAAATAGTGAAATTGGCTAGTAGTCTTGGGCTGACCCAAGGTGCCAAGAAAAAATGATGCCCTCGATGCTCCCAAAGTCCTCAAACTCTCCCAGTGTCTCCTGGGCACGAGCGTCTTGCAAAGTGAATAGCGCATGACTAGAATGAACAGAGAAACCTTAGAACAGATTCCCAGAAACAACAGACACTGAAGTCATGGGACACAGATCATAGGAAAGCTACACTTACTATGTTTTAAGGGGGGGGGGGGAAGAGAAAAACTGGAAATATCTACAGGGTACAGAAACCACAAAAGTTCTCAGTACAGGAGGAATATTTACAAAATTTGCAAAATTGGACCAGATGCTGAGCTGTAAAAAGGTCTCCACAAGTTTCAAAGGGCAGCATTCACACAGATAATGTTGGCAGTAGGATGGAGCTAGGAATTAACAACAGAAGATAACCAGGAATCCCCTATATTTGGAAATTAAGCAGTGCAATGCTAAGGCAGGGGCCGGGACAGGGATGTCTCTGTGACCTTCAGGAGGTGCTTTCAGGATGAACTGGACACATTTGTTGGGTGTTGTGATCACCATTCAGTAACCCTAGAGCCAACTGTGGCCTTACTTACGCAATGTCAGTCCTGAGAAGATTCACTGAGGGTTATTAATCCTGCTCCGGGGATGCTCTCAGGGAATCCGACCAGAGAGGAAATGACGAATGTCACTGCTGGTGGAGAGCTGCAGCCTCCATGTCCACAGAGGCGGAGGCCACACACGTACTCACAAGACGGCAGGCTGTTAGTGTGCGTGAATGGAAAGATGATAAACCCAAGAAAGCAGAAACAAGACAGCTCCTCTTCCAATATGTAACAGTCAGGAATGTTCACACAGCCTAGAGCACTTTTGGAAAAGCTGACTTGTTATAGGTGGGAACGAAGTGACTTTTAACTTTTTAAGAATGGATTTTATTATATTTGTGTGGTTAATTTTTTTGAAAACAATTTTTATTTATTTATGTATTTGACAGAGAGCACACAAGCAGGGGGAGAGTCGGAGGGAGAAGCAGGCTTCTCGCGGAGCAGGGAGCCCGATGCGGGGCTCGATCCCAGGACCCCGGGATCATGACCTGAGCCGAAGGCAGACGCTCAACCATCTGAGCCACCCAGGCGCCCTCTGTGGTTAATTTTGTAAAAACCGATTGGATGTGCATGTCAGGCCTTGACCACACCGTTCTCAGCTCACCACCTCCTCCCTGGTGCCGCTCTTACCCACGGAACTTAGAGAACTCACAGGAGGGCAACTCCGTCCCCACCTCCTGAGCCAGCTTCTCCTGTGAGGTGAACAAGCCGCTGGTTGGTGTGTTGCTGGGTTCTCACACTCTCTGGGCATGTGGCTTCACCAGCCCCACGCTGTTGTCATGGTGTTTCACTGTACGGCGTCTGCAGTGAGGGGGCCACAGATCAAGAAAATACTAAAT